GTAGGATTTTTTCAAACTTAGGCGAGTGTCGAACTGCAGCTAAGTCTCTAAGTGAGAGAACTTAGGCGAGTACTGGACTGCAGCTAAGCCCCCGAGTGGGAGGATTGCTCTCTACTCGGTAGGATTTTTTCAAACTTAGGCGAGTGCCGGACTGCAGCTAAGTCTCTAAGTGAGAGAACTTAGGCTAGTACTGGACTGCAGCTAAGCCCCCGAGTGGGAGGATTGCTCTCCACTCGGTAGGATTTTTTCAAACTTAGGCGAAACGGATTCGCAGCTAAGCCCCCGAGTGGGAGGCTGGCTCGCCACTCGGTAGGAAACTGTTTTTACAAAATTAGGCGAAGCGGATTCGCAGCTAAGCCACCCACTGGGGGAATTCTTACGCAAACAAAAAACAATAATAATCACTGGGAAAATTATAACGCTCTTGTCTTTGATAAATAAACTATAGGAGTTTTTCTTATTACATCTCATCCGAGTGAGAATTTAAGTATAAAAGGGGCGGAGTAGCTCCGCATTCCAGGCTCGTGGCTCATCAATCTGGCGATCGACATTGTAGAGGTGGTATGCTCCATTGTGGAGGACTCTGGTGACTATGAAGGGGCCTTCCCAAGTAGGAGCGAGCTTGTGTGGTTTCTGCTGATCCACTCGGAGGACTAAGTCTCCTTCTTGGAAGGCCCGGCTCTTCACGTTTCTAGCATGGAATCGACGCAAGTCTTGCTGATAGATGGTCGATCGAATCAAGGCCATTTCTCTTTCTTCTTCTAGGAGGTCGACTGCGTCCTGCCGGGCTTGTTCTGCTTCGTCTTCTGAGTAGAGCTCGACTCTGGGAGCGTTGTGAAGCAGGTCACTCGGTAAGACTGCCTCGGCTCCATAGACCAGAAAGAATGGGGTTCTTCCGGTCGATCGATTTGGGGTTGTCCTCAATCCCCAAAGGACTGATGGAAGCTCATCAACCCATGCACCTGCTGCGTGCTTGAGATCACGCATCAATTGGGGTTTAAGTCCTTTGAGAATTAGGCTGTTTGCCCTTTCTGCTTGCCCATTCGACTGAGGGTGAGCGACCGAAGCATAGTCGACCCGAGTGCCCTGAGAGGCGCAAAAGGCCCTGAATTTGTCGGAATCTAAGTTTGACCCATTGTCGGTGATGATGTTGTGCGGAACTCCATATCTGAATATCAACTCTCTGACTAAACTGATAGCGGCGCAAGCATCAAGATTCTTGATAGGCTTGGCTCAATCCATTTGGTGAACTTGTCGACTGCTACCAGCACATGAGTGAAGCCGCTCCTGCCTATTCTCAGTGGTCCAACCATGTCCAACCCCCAAACAGCGAAGGGCCAAACGAGTGGAATGGTTTTCGGGGCCGACGCGGGCTTGTGTGGCATGTTGGAGTAATACTGACATCCTTCACATTTGTCGACTATCTCTTTGGCCATCTCATTGGCTCTTGGTCAGTAGAACCCCGCTCGGTATGCTTTAGCCACTATGGTCCGAGAGGATGCATGATGGCCACAGGTCCCCGAGTGGATATCGTTAAGGATCATCTGACCTTCTTCTGGTGTAATACACTTCCGGCCGACCCCAGTCGTGCTTTCTCTATATAACTGTCCCTTTATGACTGTAAAGGCTTTGGATCGACGGACGATCTGTCGAGCTTCTTCTTCATCTTCTGGGAGTTCTTTCCTTAGGATGTACGCGATGTATGGTT